AAACTGAAATTCGATAATCAGATCATCATCATATTTCAGAGTTTTAAAACCTAAGTACGTGAAAAGCTCCTATATAAGCTATGCTACATAGCTAATACAGTACTTTCAATGCGATTGAAACAACTTCATATTGGTTGATATCTTCAGAGTGATCACATGCAGGTAAACTACCATCCAATGTCCACACCTTCAAATGGCTGCCGCAGTCGGATCTCTTGCAGCATCCTAATGCGAAGGCGTTCATAACTCATGGCGGATATAACAGCATGCAGGTATCTTAAGACGACTCTGGCCGTAGCTTTTTGATCTGCGATGTCACCATCTAGGAGGCGATTTCGGCTGGAGTACCAGTGATTGCCATACCTTTGTTCGGAGATCAGCCAAAAAATGCGAGGCTTGCTGAACACCATGGGTTTGCTGTGCGCATCTCAAAGACCAACGTCAAAGCTGAATCTGTCGCTGAGGCACTTACGAAAATACTGAACGACCAAAGGTATATGGTAACATCGCGCATTTGGGCGAAATCGCAACTCAGTGAGTGCCCGTTTCAGCTACACAATGGTCATCAAGCGGATCTCCAATATGGTCAAGAAAAAGCCAGTCAGCGTTTCTCATTTATTGGTGTCGTGGACAGAGTTTGTTGCGGAATTTAAGACTCTCGAGAATCTCGTACCTGCGGGAAACAGACTTAACTTCGTGCAATATCATTCTATAGATGTCGTAGTAACAATTATGGCTTGCTTTGTTATATTAATGTACATCATGTGGAAACTGCTGATTTTTCTAGCATTCAAAGTGGTTGCTCTGGTGAACGGCGAAAAACCGAAGAAGGAGTAAGTTGGAAGTGGTAATAATAATTGTTCATAGGCTCAAGCATCTCACAGTCATTTCCCGTCTCGTATTCGTATCTTCTGGCATATGTCGTCTTTCTAACTTCAGTTGGCTATCTCCAATTGGCTCTCGACAATGAAATTGAGGTGAAAAGACATCTAGATAGTTATTTATACAGTAAAAGTTTGTACACTGGGTAGTATTGAAAGCGCAACAACAGCAGGTTCTCACACTACCACTTTCTAATGATCTGTATAGAATCATGTTCAGAAATATCTTTTATTTGCATTTTCAATGAAATGCACCTTGCCACTTCATATGGCTTTTTGGTGACAATATTATTGACAATATGACAATATAATAACATTTAACACCAGCATATGTGACGTTGTAAAGTCGCACGCGGCCATAGAAATTTGATTTACCGACAACTTAATCATGTTATAGTCGTCCTCACCC